CACTGTAGCTCAAGTGGTAGAGCGCTCGCCTTGAACTGAAGAGCTGAGGGACAGCGCCCAGGCCCAGAGTTCAAGCTCCACGACCAACCAAAAAAAAAAAAAGAAACAAAGATGCACTCTCTTTGCTTCAAAGAGAGACAACTGGATGCATTCCTTCTGTCACTGGACAGAGGTGAGGTTTAGTGAATCTTCCCTTTAAATGTGGTCGCTCTTCACCTAGGGTCCTTGGCTGTGATTGCAGAATAAGAATTTCTGGACAATGGGGCTGGGAAGGTGGCTCAGTGGTAGAGTGCTTGCCTTGCATGCCTGAGGCCCTGGGTTCAATTCCTCAGCACCAGATAAGCAAAAAGAAAAAAGCCAGAAGTGGTGCTGTGGCTCAAGTGGTAGAGCGCTAGCCTTGAGCTGAAGAGCTAAAGGACAGTGCCCAGGCCCAGAGTTCAGGCCCACAACTGGACCCCCCCCCAAAAAAAATTTCTGGACACGTCAAAATGGTAAGAAAACTTGGCGGAGCTTTATTAAGTAAAGAAGACCGCTCAAATTGGCAAAACGAGCCACTTGCCACAAGTCCCCAGCTCACTACAAGTGCTGCTTTACCCCACCTATAAAAGCTCTGCTACAACTATACTCAGTGCGACCTCTCTGATCCCCACCAGGGAGTTTGCCCTGGAGCATACCCCAATAAACTTTCCTGTCAATCTTTTTATTTTTCTCTGCGTGGTCCTTTCCTCGCCTATAACCTTACACGAGCAAGTGGACAAACACACAAGAAGGGCAGGAACACAAACTAACAGAATGTGGATGCTCTCATGGAGAGAGACACACAGCTCCTTGGGCTGTTGGGGTACTTAGAAGGTAAAGGCAGGGGGTCTGGCTTCAAAGTTATGTCAAGATAGGTGCTTTGTCTTTGCTTAATTGGTGAGTTTCCAGGTAGGTAAGAATGCATCTACCATAAAACAGAGCCTTATCCTTGAGACAAGGAAGGTGCCCTACTATCTGCATTTTGGGGTAGGAGGTGGTGTACGTTTGGGGAAGCATTTTTTTCAGAAAGGCACACCTCCTGTCAGACAAGTGTTTACATTCTCTGAAAAGCACTGGGGTGGGGGGTGGAGGGGTGGGCAAGAGGAAGGAGAGTTGTCCTATCAGAAGACATACAGTGATCTCTGCCCTATCCCTTCCCCCCCCACCCTCCCCACCCCCAGCAAAGGACAGTAAATACCTCGGCATCCCTGTCTGTCTCCAGCCCTTCAGCTGCTGGAAGACCAGGCTGAAAGGTACCGGGCAGAAACACAGAGGATTGATTCTAAGGGGCAGCCTGGTCCTGCAAAGATGGAGCTCTCCCGGAACCTGTACGAGACCCCTGGGGATATGCTGGGCACCTTCCTGAGTCAAGACCTTCAGCCCCAAAGGGTTTGGAAGGAGGAAATTCAGGATGTATGGCATAGAATCGAGGGGTTCTTTCTCGAGCAGTGCTTCCGTGATGAGCTGGTTCTGGACCAAAAAGTCAAGGTCCTGAAGGTGGTAAAGGTGAGCATACAGGACTCTGGGGTTTAGGTCTTAGCTCGACTCCTGTGGGATCTTGGCGGGGGGCGGGGGGGAGGGAGTGTATCACTTTATCTCTGAGCCCCGGTCTCCTAGGATTCTTATGAGCCATAAATAGAATAAAGCTTGGGGAAGATGCAGTAAATGATCTATAGAGCTGAAGGATTATGATGATGGTGGTGGCTGGTGGTGATGAGATTCAGTGATCTCAATGCCAAGGAGTCTGGCGGAAAATGGGTAGCAGGACTCTATAAAATGTTATGCTTGTTTCTTGCTGAAGAAACTCCACTTTACCTTCAGTCATTAAAAAAAAACTATATTTAACTTATAAAATGGTACTGACAGGGGCTGGGAAGGTGGCTCAGTGGTAGAGCACTAGCCTTGAGCTGAAGAGCTGAGGGACAGCGCCCAGGCCCAGAGTTCAGGCCCCACGACCGGACCCCCTCAAAAAAAAAATGGTACTGACAGAAACTACCTGGCAAGGCTGAGAAGGTGGCTCAGTGGTAGAGTGCTTGCCTTGCATGCATGAGGCCCTGGGTTCAATTCCTCAGCACCACATAAGCAGAAAATGCTGGAAGTGGTGCTGTGGCTCAAGTGGTAGAGTGCTAACCTTGAGCTGAAGAGCTGAGGGACAGCGCCCAG